TTTGATTAAGGCATTTTTTCGGTTTAATTAACTGTTTTGTCTTTGCTCGCGAACGCGTGTGTATGAGGGGATTGAGTAAAGAGAACCGAATCAAACGTATTGAAACCCTTTGAGAAGAATATTAAATGTTCTGAAAGTCTTTTAAATTATTTTCAGTAATTACATTTTTTATTTTATTTAATTTAATTAGTAATTTAATTTTGAAAACATATATTTTTAGACTTCCTGCTGAAAATATATCTTTATTATCGATTGTATTATCGAAGGCCCGATAATATTGTATAATGTTGTTTAATAAATATTTTTTCTTGGTGCACAAGTATCTGACCGAGTGAAATTTTTTGCTGATTATGAGTTTTCAACTGGGGAACCATGAAGCTCATTAGGGAGTTGGGCGTTTTTTTTGGGGTGGAGAGTGGCATGCCGCACTTCGAATTTTTTCTTGCGGTAATCTGCCAGTGCATTTAGCTCTCAGCAGTGGCCATCATCAGCTTTCCTCAGCTTTCATCGGCTTTCCTTGGCCGTTTAATGCAGTCCAGAGAGCACTCGAGCAGTGGAAGAAAATGCTCGAGGGGTGGCCAAGAGGACGACGGCCCTCTCACGGAAAAGTTGCAGTTGACACCATCTTATGAAATTAGTTTCTTTTTCTCCCATTTTTGACTTGACATCGTTTTGGCCGCTGCTGGCACTCGAGGGTCGTTTCCTTCTTATCCCAGCCTCCACTTATTTTTTCCGTGTCCTCTCACTGTGTAATGTGAATATTCGTGCGGACATTGCTGCCCGGCTTCTCTCACAAAAGGCAATGTCGCAGCATAAATCCTGGCCAAGGCAGCTAAGGCAGCCCAGCTCCTTCTTCTCGGCCTCCCAGTTAAGCGTTTTTGTTTAACTTTACACTTGACCCCCGAAATGGGCAGCTTCAGTTGCCTTGGATTTATGCTTGCGTATTTTTTGGCTGTCTGCGAGGAATTTTGTAAAAATTGCAGGTTGATTTTCGTCTACAATTTTTATTTTCTTTTAATAAAAGCTTAAAATTCTATGATATACGAAATATTTTAGAGTTGGGTGTAATTTAAAAGTAATTTAAGGAAATGAATTTAAATAAATAGAATAATATTTAAATTAAATAAAATACAATTAAATTTCAATAATTTTTTTTCGACTAGATTTTTGATTATTTTGTTTTTTGATATCGGCCTTTTATAATATTTAGGATAGCTTTTTATACCCGTTACTCGTAGAGTAAAAGGGTATACTAGATTCGTGCAAAAGTATGTAACAGCTAGAAGGAAGCGTTTCCGACCCCATAAAGTATATATATTCTTGATCAGGGTCACTAGCCGAGTCGATCTAGCCATGTCCGTCTGTCCGTCTGTCCGTCTGTCCGTCTGTCCGTCTGTCCGTCTGTCCGTCTGTCCGTCTGTCCGTCTGTATGAACGCTGAGATCTCAGAAACTACAAAAGCTAGAAGATTGAGATTTCCCACACATATTCTTTGGCTTCCTACGCAGCGCAAGTTTATTTTAGTCGAGCGCCACGCCCCCTCTAAGGCCCACAATCGCCCACTAACGATTTTAAAATGCGTCCTGCGCCCACATCTTTAAAGATTTCCGAGAAGTATAAATGAAATTTTGTTGTGTATATTTATACCTATCGAAATGTAGAAGACATTTTTCAAATCGGACCATTCATTAAAAAGTTATACGCTTTATAAATTGTCAACATATATCTATCTCCCTCGCACTCCCTTTAGCTGAGTTACGATTATTAGTCGGGACACCAACCCGACACAGCGTTCGCACTCCCTTTAGCTGAGTGACGGGTATTAGATAGTCGGGACACCAACCCGACTATAGCGTTCTCTCTTGTTTTATCTTCAATTTCGAAAATGTTGAGAATAGAATTTGCTTGTAAATGTAAATAAACATATATTACCTTTTGAGATATGTACTTTTAGTACCATCTGCTGGCACTAAGTGCAAAGAAATTGACTGCCGAATGATATTTATAAAAACAGCAACGTTGTATTTTCAATGACAGTAAAATATTACAAGTGAAAGCCAGCTGAGGAGAGAAAGCAAAACCCAGATACGTTATATAGATCATGAATCTTTTTTATTGCAAATTAAGGATTAGCAAGTGGGAAAGTGCCATCTCGTTGGAATATACGTTTTATGTTTATGAGGTCAGCTAGGAGCGAATGCGGGCTTATGGCCGATACGATAAGTATTGAAAACCGAGAACGGGTTTGACCTTTTTGTGCTGCCATAATTCTTGACTCACTCTTTGTTTAGACGGGCGTGGTCGGGTCGGAAAACACACTCAGAGAGTGGGCAAACAAATCTGTTTAATTAAGGCGAAAGTCCTCGCCTCCTCCAAGACAAGAGCCACTGCCTTGGCAGCCACCACTTCCTCCGGTTTATCTCTCGCCCCGAGCTCTTTGGCTCCGTGTGAGCGATGAGGTGTTGGTTAGCCTTTGGGCCAGGCAAATTGCTTGGTCAGTTCTTTGAGGCCGGCAAACACACTCGCACACCCCGAAGAGTTCATTTCAGTCAAGGATATGCAGGACGAAGAGGCCATCAGGGGGATCGGGGGGATCAAGGGGCTCGGGGGGAGATGGCTAGGTGCCAGAGCGATAATTTGTTGCCAGCCAGTCGCAACCTCTCGTAACTTAGATGCTGCCAAAAAAACAGAAGCTCAATTTATAAATGAAATCGTTTCGTTGCCTCTTCCACGACACGCAGAGAAATAGGTTGAGCTAGGAAATGGTATGAGTTTCAAGGCAGCCACTTAGATTTGGTATTAAGGGCCGTTTTCTCGATAAATTTAAAGTAGGGATAAATCGTATACAAATTCATTTTTAAAGCGTACTTTTACTTAAACATCAACAATTATATATTTTCTTGAGAAATATAGTGCATAATATAATAGTGAAAAATATATCCCAATATTAGATTTTTAAAAATATATTATGGAAATACATATAGGTACCATACACATAAATTTTATATAAATAAATTAATAAATACCTTTAATAAAAATCCTAAAATATTAATAAAGTATATTCCGCAATCTTTAAAAATCCTTTTTATCTAATCAAATAATTTTAAATTAATTTCGTAAAATAAGAACGGATACAAATTTAATCTAATCTAATTCTCGTTAATGAATTATTTTACGTGTACCTCCCCCAACATTCTTGGAATCCCTCGTCCCGACTTTATCCTCCTGGGTTCCGCCTCTTTTGAGCGAGATTTGAATTTCTTTTTGTGTTACTTATCGCCTTGATAGATACACTTGGGTCCATTTGATTGCTTTGATGTATGGCTGGCTAAGAGAAATGGCAGCCGAGAGGAAAGTGCTTGCAGAATAGTAAGAGAAAGGTCGTCGAGGCGTCTTTGATTTGTTGCGGGCTCAATGCACTTGAATTTGTTTGCCTTTGATGTCGGCACATTAGTTTTGGGGCTGATTTGAAAGCCTCACAATTTACCTTAATAGGGTGAAAAATTTAAAATTTTTATTTTTTTCAATTATAGAATATTTTGCTGTTTATTAATTCATGTTGCTATTTTAGTCAAGTTTTCATTAGTGAAATCTGCAAGGGTATTAAAACTTCGGCTTGCCGAAGTTAGCTTCCGTCCTCGTTTGGTGTTTGTTTTCCCCTCGAAATGAACCCGTTTTCACATTCGAATTCTCTGAGCAACGGAGCAACAGTTCCGCAGACCGCAGGAAATGCATTGGCTAATCTATTTGAGCCATCGTGCAGCGTGACGTTACCCCTGCCCCCCGTTCTCGTTGTAAGTTTCTGGCCAACAAAATTGTGGCAGGTTGGCTGGCCATTCCATTCCCCCAGCGACAGCTGCTGCTGCATGCGACATCACAGAAAGTGGGGGAATGGCATGGGTTTTCCTGCCAAATCGCTGCCACAACAAATTCCGAGCGTCTGGCCAAATGAAATAGGATTCCGCAGTGAACCACAGTGGCGGGGCGAGTTTGAAAAATAGAAATAAAATAGAAATCGTGGCTGAGAGGAAACGTCATAAAAGTTGTCTATTTCTCACATAGATTTTCTCGGGGAAAATCGTGGAAAATATATACTCGAATTTATATATATTTCCTTGTGTGGGCAAGTCTATAGAAATGCTTTAGAATCGTCATGGTGGCTTTTGCCAGGATTGCCAGGAGAATGCTGCATCACTTCGCAGAGGAAGAAGATGTTGGTCGGTGGGGGGTTTAGGGAGTACTATGGGTGGTGGACAGCAGGGAGCCACTTCCCCAGGTTGAGCCTGTTGCCCGGCAACTTTTGTGCCCAATCGGATAATAAACAAACACCGGCATCTCAGCTTTACTTTCAAAGCGAGAATTATATTAAAGTCAAGCAGATGCTCTTTTATAAGTAGTTGGATTCCGGAACACAAGAGCCTTTGTAATGGTGTAAAATATGAACATCGTATTATTATTTGTCTAGAGACAAATAATTTGCATTTTATTAACTCAATATGTTCAAGAATTTTCAAATATTTCATATTTGATTTAAATATTTTTCTCTATGTTGTAAATCCATTGGTATTTTTATAAATTTTAAATAGGGAAATATTAAATTAAATTTACTATTTCTATTTAAATATTTAATATTTGTTGTTTTAAACATGGATCTTTAAATTCAATGTTCAGATTTGTATTTACCTTTCCTTTGTTTTTTTATAGAGTGTTTTGTCATTTTTGCAATCAAATGAACTACAATTTCTTTTGAGTAATGCATACTTACAAATGTTTAGTTTTTAGCACACACTGTTCATTCCCAAAGAAATATGAAAAGAGCATTGCATAAACGGAAATTCTATCTCTTCGGCCTTTTCATTTTTATTAACTCAATATTTTCAAGTATTTTCAGTTAAAATTTCTTTCAATTTGAGGGAATTTCATATCAATTTTGTTAGAGCTTTATTTTATCGTTGGGCAGTTGTTTTCTCAACAGGGGAATTTCCATCATGCGATGTTTGGGTGGCCAGATAGGTTGAAATCTCCTCCTGTAGAAATTCAATTCCTGCTTACATTGCTTCCATTTCGACTCGATTGACCTCCTGTATAAAAGTGAATTTGTCTATGCATTTATTGGCCTAAGTTTGTGAGTGGTTGTTGAGACTTACCAGCAGACACTTGTTGGCCAAAGCCTGGGGGCGTGGCCGTTCCCGCCTCAATTTGATGGGGTTGTCCATACGTACATAACGGAGGGCACAACCTTTGTAGGAAAGCTTAATTTCATCACCGCGCTCCGGATTTTCAGGGGACTGTTGCTCTCTATAGCGCTGATCTGATAAATATATTTCCAAGTTGGTTTCTTGTAAAGCCCGGTTGAACATAAAGTTTATCAAATAGCTGCCACAGTCTTTAACTAAATTCTTTCCGTCTTTTGGTGGAATATCGAACAGCATTTCTACGTAGTTGCAATTCTGCAAGTCTGTATCGGGTAAAATAGGTAGAATTTCTACGGGTCGAGCGTTGCTGCCACGTTTGGTGGAATGTCTAATAAAGGGCTTCTTTATATCCTCGAAAGTTCTGCCACTCAACTCTATCTGCTGTTGCAGGCTAATGGGTTCCAGGATTTTAGGGACCTGTTCCACCACAGGACGCTTTAGTCCTGAGCGAGGTTGAGGCGCTTGGACCCGCTCCTTGGCAAACATCTGGGAGCATTCCCGGGCGCGACTTGGTCGGGGCTTACTGTAACCACAATCCAGAGCCTCTATATCGGCAAGGAGAGCTGCATCATCGGGATCCATTGAGTTTCCATCGCAGAGGTCCCTCTCATAAGCCCTCTGATCCACCAAATCCAAGTCGAAGAGCGTTTCAAGTCCCCCGAAATGATGCAAAAAGGGATACTCCAGACTGGGAAACGAAACGGGGTGCACAGTGTACTCCAGAATATCCTTGCCGCAGGGCATAAATTTGCAATCTATCTCAGGTCCGGGTATCTCATTTTTGTAGACAATGGGGCAGAGCAACTCATTGCTGGGGGTTTTCCTGTTTTTAGATTGGGTTCCATAGGGGGTTTTTTGGTTAGCGGAAGGAAGTGCTTCTACCCCTGCCCCCCTTACTTACTGCTTTTCATTCCGCTTCTTCGGTTTGTCCGATTCATTTGCCGCCATTATGGGAGAGCTGTTTTCCTCTTGTTTCTCGCCTCGTTTTCACTGGGTTCGTTCTGGTCTCTCGTCCCAATTGCTCGACAAGTTTTCTGATTTGTGCTTCGTCAGTAACTTTGACAGGCGCTGCAGTTCATCCTGACAGACCCGTCGGCTGCCAGTTGGCAGCTCCGTGTTGGAAAAACTAGGTGCCGATAGCGTCTCGTGTTGCAAGTGGATGGATTGCCGCCTGCGGCTGGAAACTGCGAAACCGTTTTAAATTAAATTTAAATTAAGTTGTGTTACGAAAGACCTTTAAAATATATTTACTTGTTGGAAGCTACGAACAGGAAAATTATTAAAAACTAATTAAATTAAAGCTCAAAAACACGAATAAATAAATATATTACAAATTTTATAATAAATATATTGTAATTTGTTTTCCTCGAAATCTAAAAGATATATAAAGTATATTAATTTGCGGAAAACCATTAATACTCAAATTGATTATCTTAGTTTGTGAGCTTATATTTTTCTTACTTTTTACTTTTTTCAACACTATTGCTGGTTATCCTATCGATAGTTAGGCATTTAATTAATAAAATACTATTACTATTAATACTATTAATACTATTAATTAATATTAATACTATTAATTAATATTAATACTATTAATTAAATGCCTAACTATCGATAGGATAACCAGCAATAGTGTTGGAAAAAGTAAGAAAACTCTATAAAGTGTTGATAAGCTGAAAAGGAACAACCACTTCTGCTCAGCGACACGTGTCCCTAATCAGTTTTAGTTCGTCGAGGTCCCCACCTCAACTTGACTCGTCCTTAATCAGACGACTTTAAAATCCCTTCCGTGTCACTCTCACCCACATTTACCCCCACTTTAAGCCCCACGAACAGCCGAACATCCGCAAGATGGGGGCCACTCGGCCATAATGGACTCTGACTTGGCCACCTTAGGTTTTGGCCAGTGCTAAGCTCATTACGTGCCACGCCTCCACAACGCTTCCGCACATACAATTGCAAACTGTTGTTGTGGTGATGGAAATTGTGCACTGAAAGAAAAGCATTCACTTTTAAATGCCATATAATTTATTAAAAATTAAGCAGTTTTTTTAGAAACAAAAATAAAAAACCTAATAAATATTAAATGCATGGCTTACAAAAATGTACTCTCAAAAATAAAATGATAAAAAAACAAAATAACAATTTATTAAAAATAGAAGTAAATTAATAAAAATTAAAATGAATGAAATAAAATATTTTAAATAATAGAAATTATATAAACAAATATTAAAATCAATTACATGTATATATTTTTGTTTTATATATTAAATCTATATTATTTATTTATCATATAAATCGTACCATTTGAATTTTGTACAATTTATTTAAAGGTATATAATTGCTGTGGAATAGTTAAAAATAAAGGCTTATAAAATAAGCATTACATGGATTAGAACAATTTCTTAACAAAAGAAAATAATTTGTAAAAATTAAAAAACATTTACAAACATATTACAAATCGATGGATTTTAATTTACGAAAATTAAAAATTAATTTAACACTATCTATGTAAAGTAAAATAGCTCTAAATATTTTTTAAATAATCCTGGCTAATTTTCAGTGTGACTGATGGTGATGAGCCGCCCGATAAGAGTGGTTGGGAGTCCTGGTCGTGCTCGTGGTGAAATTAATTGATGCGACAATGGCTGAGCAACGACTAACTTAGGCCTCCAACTCAATTCAGGCCGCCACATCATGAGCTCATCATCATCATCATCGTGAGTTGCAAAGGGGCAGGAAAATTAGGAGGCGGCGGAGAAAAAGGAGGAACGGGAGGATCCGGAGGAGGAGCTGCTGCCGAGATGGGAGGTGTGCCACGAGCCATGTGCCATGTGGATGCCCCATTCGGAGGGCTGTGCAATTTGGCGTGCGGAATTTCATTAGAGCCGCCGCAGTCGCCGGAGCAGCGGAATCAAAATTTAATTTATGCTGACATTGAAGTGTCTGTGGGGCAATTAAATCGACAGCGGGGCGTTTTCGGCTGCCTTTGTGTTGATTAAGTACCGCCGAGCAATATTTTAGCATAATGATGTCCTGGCACGCAGTTGGGGCCTTTCTTTTTTAGTGCCTGCTCTGCTCCTTCGGCAAGCCTTTCACTCGAGTCCCCGCCACTTGGGCCAAAGGATTCACTCGGACCGCCTTTGATGGCTGATGCCCTGATGGTCTGAACGGCTCCGCCTGATTAGCCGCCCGATTAGCCTTTGTGCCCCGGAATTTACGACAGCTAAGCAAATTTTTATTCGAGTTCCTCGACTAATTTGTTGATGGCCTCCTTGATGAACCGTCAACCATTTTGGATTGCACATAATCCGGTTAGCAAAAAGGGATCTCCAGCTTACACGCTTACGTTTAATGGCCGGAAATATGTTACGGACAATCCAAAAATATATAAATTGATATACTTTATCTTCTCTCTCTTGGGATTATATATTTTTGTGTGCAATTTATCTCTGCTATCAAATTTATTTTTTGATAGAGAGTAGTTGATAAAAAAAACCTCCTTCGTCGCACCAACTTTCTTCACTTTTTTTCTGTTAGCTTAAAGTTGTGTTCGGTGGGCTAAGTAGCAAAAGATGATTTTCCCCAGCTAAAGATACTTTTAAGACAGATTCACGGCTTTTACTGTTCAGTAGCTCGAAGTACTTTTCATTTTCTTAAACTGCTTTTCCGCTGTTGCTTCTTTGTAGTAACTTTTTAAAAGCTGCATTTCTTCTGCTAGATACTCTTTGGGATTTTAGTAGATACTTTTCCGCGGGTCAAGATACTTTTGTATGTGAAAGGAGTAGAAAAATGGTTATTCGGTCTATAAGAGAAACTCTATCATAGAATTTTATTTGCTTAATTCGAAGAAACCTTTGAAAAAACATCAAGATTCTTATAATTACATTTTCTTAACATTCATTTTATTTAGGCTTATGTTTCCCACTTTTCCTTTTCCTAATCATGTAAACCCAGTTCTATCATTCCCTTTCTGACCTAATCGCATAAAGAATTTCACTCTTCAAAAGGAAACCCTAAACAGCTTTCGAGTTGCTCTTATTTAGAAATGATTTTTCCTGCCTATTTTGCATTCTATTTCTATTTTCCTGGCATTTGAATGCATTCGTTGGTTTTAAGAGCCCGCATCTGCTGGACTACGATTCGAATTTCGAAATGCTAGTTGAAAGTCGGAGCTATAATTAAGCTCTACAGCTGATTGGACACGCCCACTTTTAAATCGGCCATTCTACTAATTAAGTGCGAACGATGATGACGCTGCCCACTCATGAAATGATGACTGTGTTCTGCCAAGTTTTCCACTTTCCACTGGGGAAAATGTGGCGTTGACAATGGCGGCATCGTTTACTGATTTTTCAATTGTCCCCAGCCGACGGCAGGGAAAATCCTTTGTGGCAGGACGAAATGCGAGGAGGATGGGGAGAAGGGGGAGAAGTTGGCATACCGTTTCATTAGCATTATGCGGCCACAAAAGTATTCCAGGAATCCTGTCGTGTCCTGATCCTGGTCCAGTTTCGGGTCAAGTTGAATTATTTTAATGATCAAGGATTAGACAGAATGAGAAAGGGAGTGAGGGTAGAAAGCAGGATGGTGTCGCATTAGCATGCATTACATCAGGACACATTTGCACGTCTCGCCGGTCCATCCTGTCCTTCCCTGTCCTGTCTTGGTGTTGGTGTTGGCTTACCAGAGGGAATCTCGTCCTCGTCCTCCGAAGGGAGGGGACAAATGAGCATCCTGTAATTACTTTATCCGACATTCGTGTAGGATTTCCACTATTTTCGGGCGGCTTGACATAATAGCAGAGTTATTTGGGCGAAGGGAGGGGAAAAATGGATGATGGAGAGTCCAGAATGGAGATGGGCGTAATTGTAGCCAACGCCCCCGCCCACACAATTAGACGCCTTGCACATTCTCCAAAGCGACATAAATCATAATTACTTGCTCGACCTTTTCCACACACACACCTCTCTCTCTCTCTTCCTCCATTTGAGTGGGTGGTTTTTGGTGGGTGGCTCCAAGCGCACTCGAGTGAAGACGTTTATTAGGCGCCATTACCTCGGCATATAAAGTGCTTTTGGAGGCACTGCGTCCTTTGGTCCTCGGACTCCAACTCAAATTCCTATACCTATTCCTATTCCTCTTCCGACTCGCTCGAATGTGTTTTCTGGACCACTACAATTGATTGCACTGTGGTTATGGGTCGGGTAATTTGTTGGTGCCGTTTCGTTTCGTTTCCTGTCACCAATTCCCTGTTCATCTCCTCCAGCTCCTCTTCTTCTCTACTCCACTTCTCTTGTTCTCCTGGTCCCTCTGGCGAAAAGTTTTCTTTGCTTTGGAAATGCACCTGATGACAGCGGGGTATTGCCAATTTTCCGTATTAGTTTGTGAACGGAAATGAAAATCAGCTTAAGTTGAAACTGTTTTTTTACATAAACTATTGTTATAAAAGTAAAATATTTTGGGGAACCGTTTTTTTTAGTTTTTTTTTGTTAACAATAAAAAATGTAGGAAAATCTAAAATCATATTTTTGTAAACTTTTGAACTTTGATTTAAATTTATTTAGTATCTTAATGGCTGAAATATAAAAACATTATTGTTTTAATGTTCAAGAGAAAAAATTGAACTTATGAAATTCTTAGCTTACATCAATAATAATAAAACTAAACAACTTTTAGAGACCACAGTCAACTTAATAGAAATAAATCTCTAGAGTCTCAAATTGCTTACAATATAAAAAGTTTTCAACTTTTTTTTATTTAGTTCATCATCTTTGTTTTACAACTTTGCCAATTTGATTCCATTTGAGGGCACTGTAATATTCGGCTATTGCGGCCTGAACTTTCAATCTTTTTTTGTTACTTTATTATTGTTTATTTTGGCTTTTCACTCGTAGCTTTTAGTGGCTCTGTTGGCCAGGGACAAATGAAAATTTAAGAGGCATTCATTATTTAATTAGCCGCTGCTTGATGTTTTTTCACTGTCATCGATTTTTCACCTACTCTTTTGGCACCTCCCCTGATTTAGATGCATAATTAATAGATATTAA